TTCATGCTTACTTTTTTTCTTATAGTGTTGGTGGCCGATCTTTCTTTCATGAGTGTATGAACATGTTCATATTTACCTTCACCTATATCTCAATAGTGTCATTTCTCAGGCCGAAATTCTATGAACATCATTCTAAGTAGCATGCTGTGTCCCGTTATTTGTTTCATTGTCAATGAAAGCAAGTCCTAATTCTCTGCGCGGCAACAGTCGGCAAATTTGTGGGCCTCTCCGGCTCTCCGACGTTCCAGTTCGTCCGGAACCTTTTGGCAATTGCCCAAATCACAGTGTAGAAAATCATCTCTTAGGACCTTAAGAGTCTACACAATGGTGTGGAGCATAAGCACACCTGAAAAATACTTTGGCTCGTGCAATCTCTGCGGTGACATTGAAATCACACATTATATTTTGACAGACATTCTGATATATAGTTTGTTTTTTTCCTGACGCCTTTTCTGACTTGGGTACCTGCCTTCGATTCGTTAATAATGCTTTGGCGTGTTCATTCATATAAATTCAAGCATGCGGTCTTAGGTAGATTCAAACACTCAATCCAACATTCTGATTGACAAAATTGTTCAGATTCTATGTGAGGTAAATCCTGGCATTCTATGAGCCACTTTTTGTGAACTGTTGTTTGGCATTTCATCCGGCGGTTCATCTGGCTTTTGTAAATCTGGGTTTCGCTGCTTGGCATTGTCTGATGCATGTTGGTCTGGGCAGCCGTGAGACCTGCCTTACTCGCGCAAATATTAGAGACCTGGCAAGCCTGCTATATAACAGCAGTTCGACTGTGGCAATGCAAGAATGACAAGGCATCGAAGGTGGATTAGGATGTAGAGGAAAAGCAAGACGACATTAAATAAGGTCAAGAGACCGCGGCCTTTCACACAACCTTTGGTTTCGCGCGGCACCTTTTCTTTTTTTCGAGACATGCCTCGGACAGCTCCTTGGACACGTTTCTAACGGCCTTCTCCAAATAAGTTGTGGGACTTTCGTGAAGACCTTCGCTTCTTTCAAGGCATTGGTGTAGAATCAAGACATTCTTCAGACATTAACTGCTCTTCTGCAATGGCCTTTGCTTTGCCCTCAAAATTTGCTTTCTCAAAGCAAGCTTGATTCGGTAGAGATCGATGCAAAGCGCTGCGGGCACCAGGTAAATACCAAAACATGCGTGGGGAAACGCAATTAGTTCAAGTTAACGTGGTTGCCTTCTACTTGCGCTGAAAGCATCTTGTAGCAAGCAGCTAAGGAAGAAGCCTATACCAAAGGTGGCGGTGCTTTGCCCGATGAAGGCTTGCCACTGTTCATGTCGGTAGGCGAACCCGTGCTTTGTCATTGCTCCATGACAGGTGAGAAAACAGGCCACGACTGTTGTGCGCCAGGTTTAGGACAAACGCATGCCAATAACATCTCCTCTCTTGTGTGGATGCAAGCTCTCATCTCTTTTAAAGAAGAAGACTGAGAGCAGGCAGCCAATGAAACAGAAAACTTGGGTGAGAGGGACTCAACCATGGCATTGCTAGGTGCTCTGGTATCTTTCACAGTACAGATCGATTTGCAATGGAAGATCTTTGGCTTCAACTACTCGCGGTCTAGAAGGTGTGAGAACAACAATTTGACCGTTTCCCATTTAACAAGTAAGCTCCCAGGTGACATTCGAAATTTCGTTCCTGTTGGTCGAGGAGAGCCGCAAGGTGGTGCCCCCCACTTTTAAGTAGTTGGTTTTCAACCCCAGTATCTACCTGCAGATATATGATATATGTATCATACACCCTACTGTTTGGAGTTATGAACCACCTTTGTATAACTATGGGGCACCGCTTTGCAGGTGTTGACAAGAATGGATCCGCCTCTGACCGACACCGCAAGGCTTCGATGAAGCCCAAAAAGCAATGCGTTGACTATTAGGCTTGGGCACTATATTACTGCGCCGAACCCTTTGGGTATGAATTTTCCATTTTGTGTAGCCACCTCTGGTGGCATCAACGCAGCCCTTCCAGGCAACTTGGGACGAAAAGACCTGTGAACTTGAATGTGCTGCGGCGGCGTTTTCCTTTTTGACCACCTTGTCCGTCAACGCGCGCACATTCTCAATTAAACTTAGGTGTTTAGCACCTTTCTCCACGGGTAGACAGAGCGGGGACTTTGGCGGCAGGCTCTGCTCAGTGATCAAGGGTACTCTGGCACCATGTCCGCGGACATGATGCCACAGTCCCCCCTAGCAGTGATAGGGGAGGCTTTTGCACTATGAAAACATGAGTCGGACATTGAATTGCGTTGTCATTTAGTCAATAGAAATCAAAATTGTTTCTTTTCGTATGCGATTTATAATGCAAAAAGCGCCCCCTGCCTATCACTGCTCGGGGGGACTTTGGCATCATGTCCGCGGGCATGGTGCCAGAGTACCCTTGATCACTGAGCAGAGCCTGCCGCCAAAGTCCCCACTCTGAGGTGCTGTTACCCAATAGCGTACGCTAATGCCTCGGCCTTCATCAACAATATTACTTGGATTCTGCGCGTCCAACTTACTTCAATCAAGCAAATGTGTTCATCCAAAGTTGCTTGCTTCAACGGCACGTGCACGTCTCCAGTTTCTTCTGGTTATGAACAGTTTGACACCCAAAGCGAACACAGAGGATCTTGACGCGCTTGACACCCCAGCAGGTCAATGGCTTTCGTGGCACATGGGATCCACAGGATCAAGATGTTTGTGACTGTTTGCCGGATTTTTTACTCCATATTTCGCCCGGCCAGATTGTCGAAGTTACTATAGTTCTTCCTGCTGACGGTGCCAGCAACCCTTTAGTCACTCCAGCTCCTTGCCTGAGTACCTTCGACACGTTGAAGCTCCTGGGTGTCGACCGGCACCTCGCCATGCAGCGAAAGATGAAATTTGTTCCGTTGAGGAGCATGGCCCTCAAGTTATGTTGGTGCAGAATGGTGCGAGGACGCATGTTGGGACATGCCATGGCTGCATGTCCGTTCCTGCAACACGGCATGGTGCAAAAGGACGTGCGTGTCTGTCTCCAAGCCCCTGGCTGCAGTTACCTCCATGTGCAGCTGCCACGCTGTAAATTTCAATCTGCAGAGGTATTCCACCTGTAAGGCATGGTTCTGCAGATAGGTCTACCATGCTTCTGCCGTAAAGATGTCAAACTCTTGCTCCCATTCATCGCATATGACTTTGATGCGCGTGGGGCCTGAACAATATTGGTCATGGTTTCTAGTTTCACTATGACCACGCAAACCACAAACCGTTTCGATGCTGCCGGGTCTCAATGCCTTCCCATCTTTTGTTGAGTTTTGCTGAGCTCTGCCCATTTCACCTCATGCTTCCGAGCTTTGCACACGTTGCACTGCATTGTAGGATCTTTGGAGAAAGCGACGCGATCTTTGTTGCCACCATTGCTGCTTTCCTTAAGTGCTTTTGCCAGTGTCAGAATCTGCTCCTTCTGTGACTCCGTCAAAGTGGCCTCCTGAAAGATAAAGGGATAGAAAGCAGTAACATGACATATCCACAGGCATGCACTAGAATGGCTACAATGCATATGCTACGCGTCAACGATTACAAAGGTTTCCTGCAAGCACAATGGACAAAGTCTGTCTCCTCCAGCGCCAACTTCCACTCGGGCGGCTCAGCAACTTTACCGCGCAAGCGCTTCAAGCAAGGGCCGGACTTCTCTGGGGAATCACAGGCATCAGGCTTGCGCCGCTTTGGAGGTGTAGAAGGCTGGTCCGACTGAGCTAGCTCTACCTGACAAGGATGGGCGGACGCCCAAATGCTGCCGAGGGCCGGGATTGAACAACACAACGTCGCACACAGGTGCATGACTGAAACACATGGGGTCAAGGCATTTCTTTCCAAGACAAGGCGCAGGCTGGGCAGAAGGCTGGTCACTCGTTCCATCCTTGCCCTGCAAAGGTTCCACGGCCTGGGCTGTGGGCAAGCATGCGGCACCAAAAAGGAACCTAGGGGAGTTCCTATCATGGGCGACCCCAAAGTGAATAGTTTATAATGGATAGATCTTTTTCAAATGAATGAATTAAGGGCTATCCCCATGCTGCAGGAAAGCTCTACTTGAGAAGTTGTTTCACAGATGTGTCTGTCATGCTGCACCCTCACACTGCCACCGATGCAACCAACAGACGCTACATGCGAGACGACTCGCAGGCTGGGCAGAAGGCTGGTCACTCGTTCCATCCTTGTCCTGCAAAGGTTCCACGGCCTGGGCTGTGGGAAAGCATGGGGCGGCACCCAAAAGCAACCTAGGGGGGTTCCTATCATGGGCGACCCCAAAGTGGATAGTTTATAATGGATAGATCTTTTTCAAATGAATGATTAAGGGCTTTCCCCATGCTATAGGAAAGCTCCACTTGAGAAGTTGTTTCACAAATGTGTCTGTCATGCTGCACCCTCACACTGCCACCGATGCAACCAACAGACGCTACATGCGAGACGAGGCGCAGGCTGGGCAGAAGGCTGGTCGCTCGTTCCATCCTTGTCCTGCAAAGGTTCCACGGCCTGGGCTGTGGGCAAGCATGGGGCGGCACCAAGAAGCAACCTAGGGGAGTTCCTATCATGGGGGACCCCAAAGCGGATAGTTTATATTAGTTTATAATGGATAGATCTTTTTCAAATGAATGATTAAGGGCTTTCCCCATGCTATAGGAAAGCTCCACTTGAGATGTTGTTTCACAGATGTGTCTGTCATGCTGCACCCTCACACCGCCACCCATCCAACCAACAGACGGACGAGGCACATGCTGGGCAGAAGGCTGGTCACTCGTTCCATCCTTGTCCTGCAAAGGTTCCACGGCCTGGGCTGTGGGAAAGCATGGGGCGGCACCCAAAAGCAACCTAGGGGGGTTCCGATCATGGGCGACCCCAAAGTGGATAGTTTATAATGGATAGATCTTTTTCAAATGAATGATTAAGGGCTTTCCCCATGCTATAGGAAAGCTCCACTTGAGAAGTTGTTTCACAGATGTGTCTGTCATGCTGCACCCTCACACTGCCACCGATGCAGCCAACAGACGCTACATGCGAGACGAGGCGCAGGCTGGGCAGAAGGCTGGTCACTCGTTCCATCCTTGTCCTGCAAAGGTTCCACGGCCTGGGCTGTGCACGAGCATGCTGGCACCAGAAACCATTGATACATCCAACCACTATATGACTTACAATATATACACCTATTCATAGATTTTGTGTCTTTATATGTCCGGGCACACACACATATCTATCTATCTATCTATCTATCTGTCTGTCTATCTATCTATCTATCTATCTAACTATCTATCTATCTATCTATATAGATATACTTATTTATTTATTATAGCGACGTATTCGTATATGCATATATATATATGAATATATATGTGTATAGATATGGGCATAGCAACCGTATATGTGCAAATATGGAGATGCATCGTAAAAAATACATTGTATATATCTGCATATATAAGGGAGAGAGCGAGATATATATATATATATATAGCTGAGAAATAACCATGTCTAATACACTCACTGGAAGCTAAGCAGGGATTACGTTGCTTTTCCTTATATTTATATTGCTTTTCTTTGCGTTTTACATTATTCTTCTGTATGTATTCATTTTCTTTCTATTTACAATGTATCTTATTTATTTCATGGCCGTTTTTCTTTGTATTTCATTGTTTTTCTTGCCTTTTAAAGGGCCCACCAGCAAATACAATAATCCGGACTCCTGCCAAGAAGCAAGCTGGGAAGATGAGCCACCTTGAGCCTTTGAATACCACGCGCCCTCTGCCTGCTTCAGACTGCGATATTGCTTGCCAGTCGCCAAATCGTAGTAGATATCTTAGCGTCCGCAGGGCCAAACCAACGGAGACATTCAAACAAAAAAAATCGACAACACATGCACCCACAGCATTCACACTGAAAGCATTCACACTGAACCTTCGTTAGACCATTTTGCATACTTCAAAGCCCAGCGGCAGTATGACTTCAAAGTGGTACCATGAATGCGCTCTTTCACGTGCCACATGCTGCAAACTATCAAAATATCGGGTCACCCCTCGACCACACAAAACGGCTGCAGCATATGGACCAAACAGCCCAGTCACAAAATCCTGGGATAAGGACCCAAGCACCAATGGGATATCATCTTGTTGCTGCTTCGAACATGTCCCATAAACAATATATAATGTATGTATGAGCATCGTTATCGTTTTTTTTCCTCTTATCGTTTTCTCGAGTGAGAACTACATATGGCTAATGGGGGATCATGGCATACTAAACGAATAGGTGTCGGGTTATTATACTCTCCCATTTGATGGGCGAAGTCTTGGATAAAGAAATGCGTGACCCAGCTCATGAGCAGTCCGACCATAATTCAGGTGGTGAAACTGCTCCAGCGCCGAAGGAAGGTCCGACAAGAAGCCCTGAATCAAGACCTGGGTCCTCGAGGCAAAGGCTGTCCTCAGCTTGGGCGCAGCTCCTCGAAACCATGTGCCTGCCAGATTGGCTTCCTGCTTGCGGTTCTTTACGGCTTGCCGACAGGCGCCTTGGCTTGTGCGAAGGTTTTGCTGCATTTTACTGCGGGCAAGGGCAGCCCGGAGAAATGCCCAGCGACGTGCAAAGCAATGGTACTATGACCCCGCAGTGGGGTCAAGGTCAACGGTCCAATGGTTGGAAGCTGGGGGCACTTTGGGCGTGCGCTTTGAGGAACACACCCAAAACCCCAAGAATGACCTGCTATGCAGATGGCGAAGAATGTGCCCAACCAACTGGCTTTGCCAAAGCGAGCCCATGGATTCGTGCACCTTTGCACCAGGCCCGAAGGTCAGCGACTTGACGGTGCAGACCATGGGCGGCGCATTGCTTTTCAGGCATGAAAAGGCCGTTCTTTGGGTTCCCAGCCTTGCAGAAAGGTATTTTCAAAGCGGGCGCTTTGAAGCCCAAACCTCCCTAAATCTTGCCATTGAATGCACATGTGCAAAGTGATTTGCAAATAGGCAGTCACAGAATGAAAACATAGTGTCATTTCTGGTCATTGAGATTCCATGCGGCAGGGGATGGAAGGAGCATCGGCTCAATGGGCAAGGAAGCTTTGTCGGATGCAACGAGCGATTGATGGCATCATCACTTGAAGGTGCGGGCAAAGAGGGTGTGAAGAGCTGGTGCGACGCCCCATGGTTATTACATACCTTTCATCTCCATCCAAAGTTGCCAAGGCAATAGCCATCCTGACCCAATGTGTGACCATCCGGCTATATACTCCCAAGTGCTCAGATCGTTGCGATTTTCTTAAACTGAGTCTGTGCCTGTGGGAAAAGAACTTTGGAGGGCTCGGTGCGAAACGGTGTGCCCTTGCAGAGTCGGCTCTTGATTGTGTTGAAGCCCGTGGCGCCGAAGGAAACATTGCAGTGAAACTCAGCTCACTGAAAGGCAACCAACATTGAACTCGCCATCAAAAAACATTGGTTTAAGTCAAAATCGGATGCAAGACAAAGCGCAGGAAAAGTTAAACCCTGACCTGAATAGTGTGCGTAGACTTGCCAATCGACGGGGAACTTCTTGGTTCCGCCAGTCTCTTCTGAATGAAAGTCTGTCTCCACACCTGAGAAGTGCCATAGTGAAAACGTGCCCTGGCTGAGAAGAGTGTAATGTCGGCCATCAAAAGTATTGATATGTGGATCACCTGTGCTACCTCCACCACTGGGTGCATACAAATACCATTGAGTCTGGACGTTCTCCACTTTTACAAGGTTAGAGCAGCACCGGCAGTCACTTAGGTCTGGCGGTGGACCCAACGGGGCGAAGATGAATCCTTCCTGGCTTGCACAACGGTCTGCGCATTGACCAATAGTGAGCCCTGTAGCTCCGGGGTTGATAAAGCCTGCGCATCTGCAGTTTGGGCCGCACTCGAAGTCGTAGCCAGAAGGAGCTGGTGGGGGGAGTGTCTGCGAATATAAATACCACTCAGTCACTACAGGGGTATTTTGATCAAGGTCTCTGCAGCACCGGCAGTCAGTGCTTCCGCTTGGTGGACCGTTTGGGGCGAATATGAATCCTGGGAAGCCTTGACAATGTGCAAAGCAATTACCAATATCAAGCCCGTTGACAGAGTTGACAAAAACCGTGCATCTGCAATTTGGGCCACATACAAAGGTTGAGCCAAAGGGAGCTGGTGGCACCACAAGTGCCTTCACCTGTTCCAGCTGTTGCTCCAGAGGTTTCACCTGGTGCAGCTCCCGCGCCACAAGCTGTTGCTCGAGCCCAGTTGCCTTTTGCTCCTGTTGCTCCTTGGCTTTCTGCAAAAGGCAACTGGGCTCGAGAGGCTCGAGCTCAGCAACGGTTGCAACGGTGCTCACCACGAAGAGCGAGAGTGCAACCAAGGCCGACATGGCGGAGGTTTGCGGAATCACGAGAGACGCGTGTGTTTGAGCAGCGAAACTTAACAGGAATGACCATGTTTTGTTGCATATGCTGCATATGTATGAATAGTTTGTTGAAGTGTTTTGCTCGTGCAGGTTGATAAGGCGTCACTGTCAATGTCATGAATCTCTCCAAATCCGCCGCCTCCACTTCAATCGAGATGGCAAGCTCAGGAACTTAGTGGTCATACGAACCCTTCTGCTGTCATCTGTGGGTACAACTCCCAAGTGAAGCTGCAAAACAGGTGATTGGAGAGTGTGTCTACAAACACAAAACAACACAACATGCATCATTATCGAGTCTGCGAACCTTTGGACTATATAGTCCATTGCTATAGAGTCCCAAGAATTAGTTAAGCACGCTGTGGCACGGACCAGTGCGATAGTCGTCAGCAACTCTTGGACATGGTGAAGCTGTGTGTGATGGTACCGTGCCTCAGTTTCCATGAGCCTCTCTGATTCATCAGTCTCTCTGCATCTACTGTACCTGTCATATCCTGCCATTCGATTCATTCGAACTTTGTCTCACAAGAAGCTAGTCAAAGAATGTCAACGAGAATGTCAAAGAGATATATATTATATATACACATATATATATATATATACATATATAATATATAATATATATTATACATATATATATATAATTATATATGTGTGTGTGTGAACAAGTATGAACGGCTGAAGCTAGTTGCAGAGCAAGTCCTGCCATGACAAGCCGCCATGACTTGGTTTTTGAGGCTGTGCCTGAGGCCCTGTCCGTTGACATCTGCGTCATCCAGGTCCACCTCGAATTTGTCGAATTTGTGCGGGAAGCGACTGGAAACTGTTAGACTTAGAATGTTAAAAGAATCCCAAAACAGATCAAAACCAAAACAGTATAATACAGTCGTGTCTCCAATACTCACAATCTGTCCGAATCTTTCCATGGCAATTCCCTTCCAACCTCGGTGTCATTGGAGATGTTCACTGCTGGACCTTGGCACACGAGTCAGAAGTCAGGAAAACTCCATCACTGTCCATCACACACAACAGCAAGAACGGCAAATTCTGTGTTCTGGAGAAACACACCTTCAGCACCCACAGTACTTCGCATGACAGCTTCAAACATGCTCGTGGATTGCATGCAAACTTCACAAGTGTGACTTTTCAATTCCAAACTTCATGACTGGATACCAGCCACGGTGCTATTTGAGGCTGAACCAGAAGACTCAGGAAATTGGATTCGAAACCAAAGGACACACAAAGGATCACAAAGGACACATTAACCCAGCTTTGCAACCCAACAGCAGGTTGCGTTCACGGGTTCCCGGGTTCCAGAGTGCCGTTCGGGTTTTTGGGCTCGACAAAAAACGAGTCAACACTCCAGGACCCAGAGATTGAAACTACCCAACTGCCATTGCTAAGCTCCACGCCAGCTGCTTCAATGCCGCAGCGGGTGCCCAAGAGCTGTGCGTCCAGAAGCAAGCGGCCGTTGCTGCCATAGGCACGAAACCTTTGAAATAAATTGAAACTGAATCAGGGAAGCCGAAACTGATTGCATATGGGAATGGTTGATCTATGTTCATCTTGTGATTGGAATCCACTGGAGACCTTTCTCAAGAAGACGCTCAACGATTGACGGATGACATGCACAGCGAATCAGTCAAAATCCGTGGCTTCCTGCTGGCATCGTGCACCAGGCTGCACATTTAATGCTGTAACATCGATGGAGGTTCCAGCAAACACCTGGCATTGTTGACACAGACACATTGTAACATCGATTTGATGATTTGCTCATGGGAAAAGTGTTTGAAGATTTATGATATTTATGATTCATGATGAATGATGGCCTGTACTGGGCAACCCGTAGAAGAAACACCATACACAAGATTGCGCCATATTCCACCAATGTAAACAGTTATTCGAAGCAGCAGCAAACACCCAATTCCTGGGACCGCATGCGGAGGCAAATGCATGCAGATACGGAATACAGTAACAACGTGGATGCAGTCCATGTTCATCTAAGTTCCGGAATCTCCCTCGTTTCTACTGTTGTTCCAGCCTCATGACCTGCCTAACTAAGAGGTGCTTGTTTAGTTCATTGAGCAACTTGGACAGGACAGGAATAGGATCCTTCTTGCATTGTCCCTGCCTTGGAGAGCTTTCCCTTTGGCAATGGAAGGACCAGTGGGTCCCACTGAAGCCTTTCGCGCATTGACATTTCCCGGTGCTGACAGATTGCACATCAAAAGCAAGTTTTGTACTGATTTGCTCAGAGGTGATTCACCACATCCCTTAAAAATGATATGTCAAAGGTTTGAAATTGATGGGGTATTTCTACTTGCCGACATGTTGATTGATACGTGTCCCTGAATGCAATCACACCGAGAGCCTGAGATCCAAATTGATGGGATAGTGAAGCCTCTCCAAGATCTCATGTGCTCTGTGTTTTTCTGGTTTTACGCTTTGAAGAAAAATAAGCCATGCACATCTCTACACATTGTTTCAACATGTCGAACGAAGCATAGAGCGATGAAACCCATCTGTCCAAAGAACAAACCCGAATTCTGCCAGAAAAGTATGTGTAGACTGGTTTTCTCCAAAAATATGCAGAGTTTCCATTGCAAATAAAGTTCCGTGAAAGCCATTGACTTCCAACTATTACTGACTGTCCTTGCGCGTTTGCTCGAGGGTATGTCTTCACAAAGTCAGCAGGACTCAACCTTGCAAAGTTCTACAATTGCTCCCACCTGCCAGCATCTGTGGAAAGTTGTAGCTTGGCGGTGTATACCACCCGGCGGGCCTGGAAGACAAATGATACAAGATGTGAACAGGTTGAACACGTTTTGATCGGTTCTCCGGCTGATAGCTCGTCATTGTACAACCATTGCCCTGCTCTGGCACGAAGACAAGATCTGTTACTGGCAGTAAGAGATGGATTGTGGTTCTTCATCAGTGTTCCCAGTATTTCACAGCGTTCCAAATCAGCAAAATCTGCACATCACTTTGAAAAAGTTTGGCTGGTTTTCCAGGAACAACACAAGGTCCCTCCTCTGCCATCTCCTCTGGCAACACTGGCGACAAGCAGCTCCTTAGGGGCCCTGGATCGCCCAGGTATGAAGACCAGACAACTTTTGATCAAAAGAAACTGGTTCAAAGGTGGGGCATCCGCCAAATCCGCCAATACATGAGACATCCAAAAATTGGAGACATTGGATTATATTACATTATATTATATATTATATATTATATATTATATATTATATATTATATATTATATATTATATATTATATTATATTATATTATATTCACATATAAAGATAAACTTTCATTTATGTCCACTTGCCTAATCCTGTAAACATGCACAGAATTCGTGTCTACAGATTTTGTTGTCTCAGCTATGGCAGTCCCACCTCACATGATATCCAAAGTGGCTGTGACGCCTTAGCCTTAGCAACCTTTGAACACCTTTGGCATGTCCTGACAAAGGAGGGGCTCATCGGGACTCATCTGGGCTCCCAAACACCAAGTGTTCTGCATCCTGGCAGCCTTTGAGAGTTTGACCACACGCGCAGAAGCGAGTCACCTCGAAGCGTTCAAAGCGTGGCATCACGCGTTTGACCCAAGCGGTGTGTATGCATTGTGTTCTTATGTTTCTATCACCGGCAGGAAGGTCTACTTTTTTCTTGAGTACCTTTGGATGACCTATGTTTCGCATGCTGTGTTTTAGTCTCAAGACAGAAGGTTTGAGTGATGCCTGCTAAGCCTGCTACAGTACACTTCCTGTGTAGCCTTTTCTCATACTTGATGCTTGATTATCTTGAGTGTATTTGGTCAGAGTTCTATCCCAGAGAGATTCTGAACAGTTTCCTGGGCCTCTGGATCTGTGCAGCGCATCACGCGTGCGCGGCCAGCTTCAGACACAAATACTGGAAGGCTGTTCTCAGCTCCTGTAACGAGGCATAACGAGGCATAACAAAACATAAGGCGACATGTTGTGCAAATGTTCAAGCGGATGACTCGAAGCCAGGAACAACGCAAAAGTGACAAGCCACATTAAATGCTGGCACGGAGAGTACAACAGGTAAAGCATCCACAGTGTGATGTTAATCTTTCCATGCATTCAAAACATATATATATATATAATATAAATTATATTATATCATATTATATTATATCATATCATATTATATTATATTATAATATATTATATCAAATTACATTATATTATAATATATTATGTTATATTATATTATAATATATCATGTTATATTATAATATATCATGTTATATTATAATATATCATGTTATATTATATTATATCATATTATATCATATTATATTATATTATATCATAATATAATATATTATATCATATTATATTATATTATATCATATTATAATATATTATATCATATTATATAATATTATAATATATCATATCATATTATATTATATTATAATATATTATATCATATTATATTATATTATAGTATATTATATTATATTATATCATATTATAATATATCATATCATATTATATTATATTATAATATATTATATCATATTATATTACATTATAATATATTATATCATATTATAATATATTATATTATAATATATTATATTATATTATATAAATATTGTGTTTAATTCATTTTAATTCTATGATTATAATATAAATCTATATAATAGTTTGACGTCAAGCTTGTCAGATCATGTCAGATCCACCAAATCGATCACCCACAAAACTCAGCCAGTCCTTGGGTCTGGGACTCGCTGGCGTAAACAAACCACATGCAGTAAATGGCCTCGTCGCTGATGGAATTCAACAGTCACTGGGATGCACTGATCAAAATGCTGATGATTCTGAAATTACAGTATTTTGACATATAGTGCTTCAGATTCTACTGCTTGGTGAAAAGGGACGGGTACAAAATAAGGTCAAAATATGTCAAAATGCTACAAGAGGGTGCAACACACAAAG